AATAATTGGAAATAACAGGAATAAAGGGAATAACAGGAGCTTTCCCCAGCCCCTGCTCCAGATGGGAGCGTTCCCAAGCAGCATCCTGAGAGAACATTCCTCCCTCCCGCAGCCGGCATTTCCTGGTGATAACGCGCTCCCAGGCAGCGATCCCGCGGCGTTATCCCGATTAAAGGGTCATTCGGGGAAAGTGGGATGGGAACGGGAAATTATTCAGGTCTGCCAAGGGTATTTAACTTTCAAGCAGCTCTTAATTAGAAGCCAGGAGCCATTTATACAACCAGCGGAGGTTTTGCATAAGGATCTGCATCTAAAACCCGGCAACTGGGAAGATTTAGGGATTTTTAAATTTTTTATTTTTTTTTTTCCTAAGTGGTCAAGCAGCGTGTCCGGGTTGGAGGGCACGAGGCAGGGCTTGCATCGGGCAAGTGACTGCTTCTCCCAAAGCTCCAGTTTTGCCATCTGTAAAAGGGAATTTTGGCATTTGTCCGGATTTCCTGGGGTGGCAGCTGGTGTTTGTGAGAGGAGCTTGGCACTGCCAGGTGGGAGACCTCAGAAAAGCACAGGGGGCCCTGCACCCGCAGCTGTGGGAGCAGGAGCTGGTCCTGAATCCCCCAAAAATTGGAATCAGGGTGGTTTCTCCTGAATATCCCCAAAATTGGGATCAGGGTGGTTTCTCCTGAATCCCCCAAAAAGTGGGATCAGGGAAGTTTCTCTCAGGCTGTGGGAGCAGGAGCCACTCCCAAATTCCACTAAAAATTGGGATCAGGGCGGTTTCTCTTGGGCTGTGGGAGCAGGAGCTGCTTGAATCTCCCAAAAATTGGGATCAGGATGATTCCTCTCAGGATGTGGGAACAGGAGCTGCTCCCAAACTCCCAAAAATTGGGATCAGGGCAGCTTTTCTTGGGCTGTGGGAGCAGGAGCTGCTTGAATCTCCCAAAAATTGGGATCAGGGTGGTTTCTCTCAGGCTGTGGGAGCAGAAGCTGCTCGAATCCCCCAGAAATTGGGATCAGGGCGGTTTCTCTTGGGCTGTGGGAGCAGGAGCTGCTTGAATCTCCCAAAAATTGGGATCAGGATGATTCCTCTCAGGATGTGGGAACAGGAGCTGCTCCCAAACTCCCAAAAATTGGGATCAGGGCAGCTTTTCTTGGGCTGTGGGAGCAGGAGCTGCTTGAATCTCCCAAAAATTGGGATCAGGATGATTCCTCTCAGGATGTGGGAACAGGAGCTGCTCCCAAACTCCCAAAAATTGGGATCAGGGCAGCTTTTCTTGGGCTGTGGGAGCAGGAGCTTCTCCCGAATCTCCCAAAAATTGGGATCAGGGTGGTTTCTCTCAGGCTGTGGGAGCAGGAGCCGCTCCCAAATTCCACTAAAAATTGGGTTCAAGGTGGTTTCTCTTCGACTGTGAGAGCAGGAGCTGATCCCAAAATCCCCAAAAATTGGGATCAGGGTGGTTCCTCTCAGGATGTGGGAGCAGGAGCAACTCCCAAATCCCCCAAAAATTGGGATCAGGGCGGTTTCTCTTGGGCTGTGGGAGCAGGAGCTGCTCCCGAATCCCCAAAAATTTGGATCAGGGTGGTTTTTCTTAGGCTGTGGGAGCAGAAGCTGCTCCCAAATCTCCCAGAAATTGGGATCAGGGCAGTTTCTCTTGGGCTGGACAGCTCTGGGGTGCATCCAGGCYGAAATCAAGGCTGAAATACCTCTGGGTTGCTCAATCCTTGTGTTCTCCACTGTTTTTTCGGGAGATTTGATGACGATTCCCCATTTTCCTTGCCCCTTTTCCTAGGCTGGCTGGAGAAATCCCAGTTGCAGGAAATAGAGGGTCGAGCTCCCGGCACCAAAAGTCCCCCAGGAAAACCCATCCCTGAGCTTTCAGTGTCCTCCATGCTCCTCACCCGCCGCATTCCCAGGATTCTGGGAATCTCCAACCAGCTGGAAAACTCCCCAAATCCTCCTCAGCGCTCCGGTTAATCATTCTCCCACCCCATTCTCACCCCTCCCTCCACATTCCGGGCGTTTTTTCGTTTTTTTTCCTCCCTCTCCTGAGCATCCCCCCTCATTCCTCTTCTTCTTCCAGCTGGACAAGGGCGACGTGACCACCCTGAACCTCGCGGCGGGCGGCGGGCACGGCGACGCCGACGGCCCCGTGTGCCTGGACGTGCCCGATGGCACGCCGGACCCGCAGCGCACCAAGGCGGCCATCGAGCACCTGCACCAGAARATCCTCAAGATCACGGAGCAGATCAAGATCGAGCAGGAGGCGCGCGACGACAACGTGGCCGAGTACCTGAAGCTGGCCAACAACGCCGACAAGCAGCAGGCGTCGCGCATCAAGCAGGTGTTCGAGAAGAAGAACCAGAAGTCGGCGCAGACCATCGCGCAGCTGCACAAGAAGCTGGAGCACTACCACAAGAAGCTGAAGGAGATCGAGCAGAACGGCCCCTCGCGCCAGCCCAAGGATGTTTTCCGGGACATGCACCAGGGGTTGAAGGACGTCGGGGCCAACGTGCGCTCCAGCATCAGCGGCTTCAGCGGCGGCGTGGTGGAAGGGGTGAAGGGCGGCCTGTCGGGGCTGTCGCAGGCCACGCACACGGCCGTGGTGTCCAAGCCGCGCGAGTTCGCCAGCCTGATCCGCAACAAGTTCGGCAGCGCCGACAACATCGCCCACCTGAAGGACGCGCTGGACGACGGGCACCCCGAGGAGGCGGCGCGGGCTCTGAGCGGCAGCGCCACGTTGGTGTCCAGCCCCAAGTACGGCAGCGACGACGAGTGCTCCAGCGCCACGTCCGGCTCGGCCGCCGGCAGCAACTCGGGAGCGGGGCCCGGAGGGCTGGGCAGCCCCAAGTCCAACACGCTGGACAGCCACCACAACAATCTGGACGGCATTTTGGAGGAGCTGCGCGAGATCAAAGACGGCCAGTCGCACCTGGAGGACTCCATGGAGGATCTCAAGGCGCAGCTGCAGCGCGACTACGCCTACATGACGCAGTGCCTGCAGGAGGAGCGCTACAGGTAGGGGTGGTGGGTGTGGTGGCACCCGGGGGGGCTCTTTGGGGACACGRGCCACCCCCTCCTGGGCTCGTCCAGCTGAGCCCTGCTCGCTGCCAGCCCGCCCTGGAGGATCTCGAGGTGTTTTCACCCAGCCTGGGGAGGGTCGGAGGGGCTTGGGGTGTCCCCAGAGCTGTGGGGGTCTCAGGGATGTCACCAGAACCAGGGGATCTCAGGGGTGTCCCCAGAACCGGCAGGGTCTCAGGGGTGTCCCCAAAGCCTGGGGGATCTCAGGGATGTCCCCAGAGCCTGGGGGATCTCAGGGATGTCCCCAGAACCGGGAGGATCTCAGGAGGTGTCCTCAGAGCTGGGGGATCTCAGGAGTGTCCCCAGAGCTGAGGAGGTCTCTGGGGTGTCCCCAGAGCCGAGGGGGTCTCAGGGGTGTCCCCAGAGCCAGGGAGGGTCTCAGGGGTGTCCCCAGAGCTGGGGGCTTCTCAGGGATGTCCCCAGAGCTAGGGGGGGTCTCAGGGGTGTCCCCGGAGCCAAGGGGGTCTCAGGGGTGTCCCCAGAGCCAGGGGGGGTCTCAGAGGGTGTCCCCAGAGCTGGGGGGTTCTCAGGGGTGTCCCCAGAGCTGGGGGGGTCTCAGGGGTGTCCCCAGAGCTGGGGGGGGTCTCAGGGATGTCTCCAGAACCAGGGGGTCTCAGGGGTATCCCCAGAGCCGGGGGGGTCTCAGGGATGTTCCCAGAGCCAGGGAGGGTCTCAGGGGTGTCCCCAGAGCCAGGGGGGGTCTCAGGGACATGAGCCCAGCCCAGCCCCTGCGCAGGTACGAGCGCCTGGAGGAGCAGCTCAACGACCTGACGGAGCTGCACCAGAACGAGATGACCAACCTGAAGCAGGAGCTGGCCAGCATGGAGGAGAAGGTGGCCTACCAGTCCTACGAGAGGGCACGGGACATCCAGGTAGGACTCTGGGAGGGCTCAGCACCCCTGGCTGTCCCCTGGGCTGGGAAAGGGGGACAGGGAGGGGGATCCCTTTTTCCAGCACCCTCCTGGTGAGGTTCTCCATGGAGCTGTCACAGCACGGAGCAGTGACTGAACCGTGTCTCCAAAACCAGGGAATGCC